AGAGAGAGAGAGAGAGAGAGAGAGAGAGAGACTGGAATTAAAGAATATGGGAGGAAGAGTGGAGGCCAGCAAAATTATGGTTGGTCAGTGGCTCTCTCTGTTTCTCTTTTCTCCTGTATTTGCAAGTTTTCTGCCTGTGACTGACTGCTCTGTTCCATTTGTAAGGTTGATAAAATAAATAAAAACAAACCTACCAACTGCACCCCTGGGTAGTCTCACTTGTTATGAGCCTACAGATATTCATTTCCAACAGTCAAGTTCATGGAGAGGCCTACAGGACTTAAGTTTCTGCTTTCTAGGTATCACTGTGGGAAAGCTTGGTTTTCATTTGTTAGTTATCTGCTGAAAAAACGAGGGAGTGAGGGGATGGATGAACGAGTGAGTGTCTTTTTAGGAGGCAGAGAGAACTGTCTCTCCTTCCAGGCTTCCTGGATCATCTGTACCCCTGCGGCTTAAACTGTAACTAGTCGTATGCAGGGTCACTTTCCCTAGCTGGGCTGAGCCCTTCGAGAAAGCCAGTTTCCTGGCACAGGGTCCCAAACACCTATTAGGTGGTCGATACATGATTCTGAAAGACAGGAAGAAAGGTAGCAAAGAAGGGAAGCACATGTCTTCTACATTTTGACACAGCAATCTTGAAGAGTTGTCATCAGGCCCAGCTTGATTTAGGGGTGGGACCAGAAAAGATGGTCACCCCGCCTTACGCGCACACTGTGAGGAGAAAGGACACATTACCTCATCGCTGGGGGGTGGGTCTCAGGTTCCCCTGAAGTCAGAGCTGCATCTGGGGACAGGTTGCCCAAGCTGGCCCGGCTGCCTTTCCGGGAAGATTCTCGAAACCATCCAACTCCAGGGTCTTCGTCAGAAGAGTAGTCATCAAAGGAGCCCACGATGAAGTTAGTCATCATCTGCCTCTTGATGTGTGCCTGCCTCTCATTCTCTCTGGAGGGGGAAGCACCTGACCCGCTGGCTTGACGTGGCCCTGTGTCAGTGGAAGAAACAGGGTTCCCTGCGGGCTTCTGGTGTGAGGATGGCAGGGAGCTTCTCTGTGGACAGGCATGTTTGGGGTCTATGTGGGAAGCTAGCTCTGCCTGACGAGGAGTATCTGGAAGAGAGCTGCTGCAGCTGCCATTCATTTTCAGTGGCTCTTCTAAACTGCCCGAGGCTGGAAAGGTCTCTTGGTCCGTGCTACAGCTCACTTCCAAGTTACTATTGGTCACTGGCTTGGACTCCGTCATTTTCCCCCAGATTTTTAACCAGGTCAGGCAGGAGAAAATCAGGCAAGATAGAATAAGGAGAAAGACCATTCAGAAAATCTGTAAAGAGAAAAAAAGAGATATTGTATGGTTCACATAATAGTTTTCTCCCAAAGGCATTAGAGGCATGAGAGGTAGTTGGAGTTCCATGCACGGGACACAGAGTAGCTCTGGGGTTCCCCTCCCGGCTCAGCCCACAATGTGCTTTGTGGCCAAAGGTTTGCTTAATAACCCTCATGGATCTGTTTCCTGACTCGAATTTAGGCCGATGCTGTGGTGTGACGGTGTCTTCCAAAGTTCATGTGCTAGGAGCTTAAAAGTGTTGAAAGATGGGGTCTCTAAGAGGCAGCGAGGACAGGGAAGATGTGGTTATTGTGGGAATGGGTTTGTTATCACGAAGGTGGATTTTTATAAAATAACTTCAGACTCCCCTCTGGCTCGCTGCCAAGTGCTCTCTTGCCCTGCCCCTCTGCCTCTGACATGGGACGACGCAGTAAGATGGCCCTTGCTAGACATGGGAACTTTGATCTTGGTCCTCTCAGCCTACAGGACCTCAAAAAAAATAAATCTGTTTTTCATATATTACCAAGTTTCACTTTTCTGTCATATCACCATGAAGGAGACTAAGATAGTGCACAGCTCAAGAGAACAAAAATATTGACACATGCTCAACAGAAATCATCAACATGCATGTGTGAGATAATACATGCTAAAGGACTCCATTCTAGCAGCATTACACACACACCGAAAAGTAAAAACAACCCAAATGTCCATTAACTAATGAATATATGAACAGAGTGTGGTATGTCCGTCCATACAATGGAATATTATTTGTCAGCAGAAAGGAATGAAGCACTGACTGGAGCTACAGTTTGGATGAAATTTGAAAATATTATGCTAAGTGAAAGAAGCCCATCACAAAAGATCTCAGATCGTATGATCCCTGTACATGACGTCTGAGAATAGGAAAACCCATAGAGACATAAAGATTAGTGGTTGCTGGGGAGGGAAGGGTAATGGGAAAACGATGGCTGAAACGATGGTTAAGGGTTTGCTTGGGGTGATGACAATGTTCTACCGCTGACTGTGGCGATGGGCACACAACTCTCTGGACACACCGAGAAACACTGGCTTTGCCTTACCCACGAGTGGATTATACGGTATGTATTGCAATAAAACGGCTAATTTTTAAAAAAGACTCAGCTCTATAATCAGCCCTCTATATTAGTGGGTTCCACGCCTGTGATTCAACTAACCCTGAATCAGAATTACTCAGGGGTCCTGGCTCTGGCCCACACTGTACCCATGTGGGTTTCACCCTATAAAACTCCTCTGTAAAGTGGGCTCCTTGCGCTACCCACTTGGGACCCCTCCTGCCCCTCGGGAGCTTTCCTATCAATAAACATCTTCTTACTTAAAAAAAAAATTTTGGGAGGAAAACTGTACCTGCAGTGAATGTACACAGGCTCCTTCTGTTATTGTCCCTAAATAATACAGTATAACAGCAGTTTACATAGCATTGCTATTGCATTGGGGACTTTCAGTAACCCAGAGAGGCCTTACAGTAGGTGGGAAGATTTGTATAGCTTAGAAACAAATGCACCACCTTACGTATGAATTGGCACCCATGTAGGTTCCTGGAACCAATGTGCTGAGGATACCAAAGGGTGACCATATTCGACTTTATAACTAGAAGGCTATTATTGCTTCGCCATCCTCCTCTTAGTCATCATCACCACCGTATTATCAGAGTCATCATCACTGCCATGGAAGCAGGAAGGGTGCCCTGCCTTACTCCCAAGTACACCTGACTTAGGTACGCTTACCACTAAGATGGGGTGCTATCAAGGCAGGGCTGGGGGGGTCTGCTCCAGGGCTTATATGTATACGTGGGCTTAAGAAGTAGGTGTGGTACGAATCGATTCACATAGTCTGATTTCTCCCAGCCAGGTACTGATCAGGCCTGGTCCTACTTAGCTTCTGAGATCTGAGATTGGACAATATCACCACACTGTGGCCCCAGACAGATACCCCGATTTCTAAGCCATGCCTCTCCTTACTACAGTGACTATGCTCTATTGATGAACAGGCAATTGTTATTTGGAAGAGATGCTGTATTTTACAAATGGGACCTGAGCATACTTCAACAACTTCTGGAGCAATTTTGCAGGCTGTGGAGGTAGCTCAGCAGTACAGCACTTACCTAGCTGGTGTGTAAGGCCCTGGGTTTGACACCAGTGCTATAAAAATAAGTCAGTAAACAAACCAATTTGCCACAGTTATATGCCAAAAGCATTTTAAAAAATCAAGACTACAAAGCTCAAGCAGATCAATTTGATAACTAAATAGTATTTGCTTCCATAATTTCAACACAATGTCTTGAAGAGAAGTGGCAAAGTTCTCACAAACACTCTTGGCAACAGAATTATCGAAATGTTGGCAAGGGCATGTTTTAAAGTAATAAGCAGGGTCAGGAGGATTGTTTCTTTTAAGGTCATCATTTTTCTTTTTATAGAAAAGTAACTCAAAGGTGGTTCAACATCAACACAACACACCACATTAACAAACAAAGGAAGAGCCTCATAATAATCTACACATGCACATGCGCAGATGCACAGAGGGCATTTGACAAAATCCATCATCCTTTCCTGACTGAGAAAAAACATTCAGGAAAGCAGAAGCAGAACAGTAAAAACTGTATTTATGAAAAACAGCTAACACCACACTCAGTGGTGAGAGATAGTAGACAGCATTCCTTCTGAGAGCAGGACAAAGACTAGGATGCCCACCCTCACCACTGCTATTTAACACTCTACTAGAAGTTCTAGACAGAGCAATCAGACAATAAGAAGAAGTAGAAGTCATCCAAATTGAAAGGAAGAGAGCCGGGAGTAGTGGTGCACACCTGTAACCCCAGCACTCAGAAGGCTGAGGCAGGAGGATCGCTGTGAGTTCAAGACCAGCCTGGGCTACATAATGAGTTCCAGTTCAGTCTCAACTACATAGTGAGACCCTGTCTCAAAAAACAAACAAACAAAAAAACTGAAAGGAAGAAATAAAATCATCTCTATTTGCAGAAGATATAATCTTATACATAGGAAATCCCAAAGAATCCACATAACAAATTACTAGAATAACCAATTAAGTTGTAGGATATATCAACATGCAAAAATCAGTAATATTTGTATACATAAGTAATTAGCAATCTGAAAAGGAAGTAAAGAAAACAGTTCTATACTGCAACCATGTACTAATAAAAATAAAAGTTAAAAAAAGAAACAAAGGGGCCGGGGATTTAGATCAGTGGTTCCACCACCTGCCTCACAGGCCCAAGGACCCAAGTTCCATCCCCGGTACCAAAAAAAAGCAAACAAAAAAAGAAACAAAGAAAAACATGGAATTTTCCCAACTATAAATGTACTATATTAAATAATAATAATAACTGCATAGACTGATCTGTCCCTTCTAATGTGAGCAGAAAGAAAGAAAGCATAAAAGAATACAGTAATAAATAGCATCCAAAAGAATAAATACCTGGCAATATATTTAACCAAGGAGGTAAACAACTTATATGGTGCAAACTATAAAACACTGAGGATATAAATTAGAGAAGACTTAAATGGAAAGACATACTATACTCATGGATTGGAAGACTTGGTATTGCTCAGTATTTGGTTGTGCCATCCAAAGCAATACACAGGTTCCTATGGCACTGCAAAGGGCCCCTAAATAGCCAAGACAATCTTTTAAAATAACAGAGGCTCACATTTCTTGATTTCAAAATTTACTACAGAGCTACAGTAAACAAAGTTATGGTACTGGCACAAGATTAGACTAATGGAATAGATTAGAGTACAAATCTAAACCCAGATGTCTACAGTCAGTTTATTTTTGCCAAGGTTATCAAGAACACTCTATACATACAGAATAGTCTCCAACATGTGGTATTGCGACAAACACATTTTTATATGCAGAAGAATGAGATTGGACCCTACTTCATATAATATATATTTAATTCAAAATGGATCAAATACCTAAATATAGGAGCTAAAAATCATAAAATTCTGAGAAAAAAAACATAGAGGTAAATCTTCATGACCTTGGGCTTAACAATGGATTCTTAAATATTACACTAAAAGCATTAGCAGCAACACAAGAAAAAAATAAATTGGACTTCACCAAAATCAAAAACCTTTGAGAATCAAAGGACACTACTAAAAATTGAAAGATACCCAGGTGTGGTGGTGCACACTTGTAATCCCAGCACATGGGAGGCTGAGGCAGGAGGATCACTTCAAGTTGGAGACCAGCCTGGGATACATAGTGAGTTCCAGGGCAGTCTGAACTACATAGTAGGACCCTGTAAAAAAAAAAATTGAAAGATAATCTACAGGGGGCCAGGGATTTAGCTTAGTGGTGTCGCCACCTGCCTCACAAGAGCAAGATCCTGAGTTCAATCTCCGGTACCAAAAATATAATAATCTACAGGACGAGAGAGATATTTGCAAACTGTATCTCTGATAAGGGCATAGTGTCCAGCATGGATAAAGAACAAACAACAAAAAGACAAACAATTCACTTTAAAAACGGGCAAAGGACTCGAATAAACATTTCTCAAAGAAGATATACAAATACTTAATAAACACAAGAAAAGATATTTAACATCCTTAGTCATAGCAAATTCAAACCAAACCAAAATGACCCATCAACTAGGAAGGCTTTAATCAAGGTGGGGGGGTGCAGTGTTTGGGGAGATTCATGTGTTAAAGGTTTGGTCTCAGGGGCAGTGTTATTAGAAAGTGAGGCCTACTAGGAGGTCCTTGGGCCCTGGGGGTATATTCCAAAATAACAATAATTAAGTAAACAAATACACAGCAGCACTACGAGTATATCTTTCTGATGACAAAGGTTGTTCTAGCTCCAGGATTTCTCAGTCTTGGCACTATTGACACTTGTGCTAGGGAACTATTTGTGTTATGGGACTGTCCTGTGCATTACAATATGTTGAACTATATCCCTGGCCTCTGTCCATTAAACGCCAGTAGTATCTCCTCTTTTCA